CGCGCCTCGCGGGCCTGAGGAGTGTGGGCCAGGCCGAGGGAAGGTGAGGAGAGTCGGGATTCCGGTAGCACCAGGTCTACCCTTCAAAGCGCCTCGGACCCCCGCGACATCCCTTCTCGGGGTGGCGACATCGGGGGTGGGGGGCGTCGCTCAGCTCAGGTGTGTTGATGCGGTTCTCACCCCGCCACATTTCCGTACCAGACAAAAGGTACATTTCTTTTGAAATATTTTGCTCGTGGTGCAACTTCCAAATAGTGCCGTGTGATTGAATGTGGGGAGAAAAAAAAAAAAAAAAAAAAAAAAAAAGGACAACAGAGAGGAGCCAGGGAAAAAGTTTGGTCGTTTCGGTGGTTAGTAGCAAAGGAGAAAAGAAAACAGTGAGCAGAGGTGGCTGGAGGGGGGTTTTCGTGGTCGCCACTCAGCGTTGCCTTGCCTTGTGTTTTTATTTCGCTGCTACTTAACGTGTTTTTCTTAATCCTCAGCAACCTCGCACTTAGAATACTTTTTAGTGTTGGACCTTGGGCCCGGGACTATGAGCAAACACAGCACTTAGAGACGTTTTATGAAACGATTCGATGAAGAAAGCATTCTTTCTAGTTCCAGGGTTTAAAAATTTCTTTTATGACATTTTGGGAGGAGGTCAAAAGTTCAAACTGTAAAAGCCTGTTAAGCGGCCTTGTTGGGTCCCTGTGCCTCCCGCGAAGGCTTAGCTCTTACCTGCTAATGTGTTTTCTATGCGGATGGTAAACTTACAGCATTTTTATTTTGCTGTGTGTTATTTTTGCATAGCAGAGATTTGTTTTTGCAAAGACTCCTTTGAATTGAGTAGTTAAAATTTAGTAAAAACCTGCTTCTTGCTGCATCTCAAAGATGTCTCTCTCTGCCCCTGTAATTATGCTGCCTGCTTTTACTAAAGGGGCTGAGATTAACGCCTCTGAGGTTGGTCTGCCTTCAGGACTTGCACATTTTGGGGAGAATCTTGGTTCTCTTGTTTGTGCATCTTCAAGGCTTTTCTATTTTGATAGTTTCCTTTGAAACCTGACCTCATATTTTTGTTTTTTAATTTGGGAAGTTTTTTCTATGCACAATATAGTGTGCAATGTAAAAATAATGTATTGAACCTCATGTACCCATCACACAACTCGGAAGTTTATCATCGACCTCTGTATTCTTGTTCATCTGAACCCCTTTCCACCCCACTATTACAGTTTTGCTTTCTCATGCATGACGACATAGTTTCATTTGTAACCATTTCAGTATGGTTATATATTTTTTTGTTTTATGACTATTTACAAACAAGAATTAGTGATCTGTCACATTAAGCAAAGAGAAGCATTTTGGCAAATCTGAAAGATTGCAAATTCATTACTGAAGTTGCTTGGTTATTGTCCTAACCTGGTCAAATGGCGACCTCCCCTTGATGGGAGTCTGCTATGGCTACTGAAGGACTAG